CAGGAACATTTAACCGTTTTCACAACGATTAAATACTCTACTCTATACAGAATCATCAGTAGTCGTTGTAAATCATGAATTAACAGATTATTTCGTACATGAAAGCAGGAAAAATATTATTATTATTAGTTGACATTAGAAGCTCGAAAGTTTATTGTCGCAAATATCAAATCCCGCTATTGTTCGCGTCCCTGAGCGCGATCCTTCATTTCGCGATCTTCATATCCTATTTCTTTCAGGTTTCTTCTAATATTATCCTCCCATCTACGTCCCGGTCTACCCAAGTGGTCTTTTCCCGTTCGATATACCGATCAGTATTTTATGCACCCGTTCGATTCACCCCCATGCGCGTCACGTGACACCTGCCCATCTTAATCGGCGTGATTTTACGACGTTAATGATGTCCGGTTTTGTACAGTCGGTGTACTTACACTTATGGGGTTTTCCCATTCGCCGGTTTCCTCATCGCGTTTTGCACCGAACATTTTACGAACAACTTTATTTTGGAAAAGCCTCAATTTCTTTTAAGCAGTAACGTAAGTGACACCACGTTTCGCTATCATATAGGATTACTGATAAGATGATTGTTCTGTATATCCTGATTTTTAAGCACCTAGACAGCAACCACGAGCTGAGTAAATTATTGACATTGCCTAAATTGATTCTTTTCTTAAGTTTTTCTTTATTTTCGTTGATCTGATTTATGATCGATAGTAAATACCTAAAGTCGTTGATCCGTTGAGAAATTTTATTCCCAGACGACCAAAGTTCAAGTACTAGGCATATTCTGAACTCTATCGGTGACGATATTAATATTGTAATTGTATTTGTATTGTATTATAATTATTGTATCTGTTTAAATCGACGAGAAGTCAATTTATTATATTATTATTTATTTACATTATCATTTATTCTTTATAGCGATTATTTTATGATATTGTTATTTATATTTTTATAGGATTTATATCTTATTGATAGCAAATGCGTGTAACATTGTCTAACAACAATATATAGAAGTCGATCATAAAAAAAAAATAACGTACGTAAATACATCTTATAGAGTAGCCAGGTACATATTTTTAAAATAAAAGTGTTATTGCCATCGGACATACGTAATAGCATTTGAATTGCTTTATTGAACTTATTTACCAAGGTTAATAAGAAGCAGTAATAATAAGTAGCTCGAATATCATCATCAAACTTTCATGTTTACTGATTTCTGTTTCTGAATATCTTTTAAACGCTCAATTTAATCGCCAAAACATAAAACACCATTTTTATAGAGCAATTAATTTCCTACAAAAATTTGTATTGTGCACTTTTTAACAGTCATTTAATGTCGAGTTATAAAATTCATAAAAAAAAAAAATGAAATTTGTCTAAAAATCATCAAATTTAAATCATCAATATCATTCAAATGGTGAGGTTTACGGAAAAAATATAAGATACCTTTTTTGTAGAGCATTAAATTTCCTACAAAATTTGTCTAGAACATTTTTCTGTACAATCAATAAATAATTAGGTATGAATTTTGATCTATTAGACTGAAAAAAAAATTAAAAAACTGCGATGCGGAGGATCTTCCTATTAAAATGAAGAGCTCAGATTTGGTGAGAATTGTTTTAAGGTGTCTAGCAACCCATTTTTCCGTGGCTTTTGAAAAAAATAATAAGTCATTTTTTTGACCCACCCTAATGTCCATATTTGGACATTAGACAAAATTGAAAAATTTTTTTTTAGTCAAATGAAAAAAATTAATAACTAACTCAGCCTACTCTGGGACTGGTGGGGATAATCGCCGAATTAGTCAATGTTTTTTTTTAGAAATTTAAAAAGAAAATGAAAAATGGCGAACTTCGAGAAAATTATGGTTTTTCTCAAAAGATGCGAAAATTTCATGGATTTTATAATTTAAAATTTTTTTTTGTATTTTTGTCTGAAAAGTACACTTAAAAAATAAATAAAAAAACAAAACGTCCCAATAAGTTGAAGTTTGAAGAAGTTATAGTCATTAAAAAAAAAAGAGCTATTTTTTTTCAAAAATTAATAATTTTTTTGGGCTTTGGTAAAAAAATTTGAAAAAATTTTGAATATTGTTTTTCATAGGGTAAAATAGGATAAAAAACTTTCAACCAAATCGAAAGGGGTTGGGGTCAAAAGTGGCCGATTTGACATGGAATGCCTCATATATAAGTACGCTTATGATGCCAATAAGTTAAAATATATGGAAAAATTTTGAGAAGGTACAATATGAACGAGTTTATAGAAAATCTAAAGAAAATTCAGAAGATTTGACGTCCTCACATTATAAAAGATTTGAGTTAGGTTTAAATAAATGGAATTAGTTTTTATGCAGAGTTTTATCCTCAAACTAGTTGGGGCAAGGTAAAGTGTCTGCCATAGCGCTAGGTCTAAACAATAATAAAATTTATTAATTAAATTAGAGTTTCTATTGTTAAGCAATATAATAAAAATATAATCCCAAGATTATACCGGTGCCCTTTCATATATATAGTAACAATATTATAATAAATAAATCCTACAATTATCTTACTTTAGAAACTGTGCATTCGTCACATTCTCTCGAAACTTAGTTTTTTGAAAGTTTCACTTCTAGCACGTGTGATCGGCAAACATGTTTTTTTTTTTGTTGTAACTAAAAAATGAGAAAAATTATTTATTGCACTTATGACTTTTTTCTAATTGCACACCCGCACAGAAAGTTTCACTTTTCAATTGTGGTCGTGTTATTGCCCCCCGGACTTTTCCATCGCCCACTTTATGAGCCACTGCTATAGATCGTAAATTCATAGTACACATAGATATACATATACATATACACATACATATGAATATTCACATATATAAATCCGCAGGTCAGTTACCTGATATTTAGCAGTCGTTATAAGACCACAGTAGAATTAATGTACTTAGTTCAACAGATATTTTTATCGAGATAACGTTTTTAATACTTAGTTTGTTATAATTGTTTTTAATCACTCATCAACATACTTAGTTAAAAGTTTTTTTTTTAATAGTGTAAAATCGAGAAACTAATCATATTTTATTATATTCTTTGTGGTAAAAGTTGTTGAGATAAAAGGGTAAGTTTTTTATTTTTTGAAATTCTATACCTTTTCCAAATGTGTAGATCACAAATAGCCAAATTATAATTAAATATAATAGATTATATATAATAGAGTTATTATATATAGTATAGTATATATAGTAGGTAATATAGTATAGTATAGTATAGTAGAGTCAATTATATATAATAGAGTGTAATTAGTGTATTTATATATTTAAGATGAAGTGTCAGTCGAATTAAATTCATAATTTTAATTAATTTTGAGAATAAAATTAATATGGCTTACTAACAACTTATTAGGAGCTTTCATTGAATAAGAAATTATATAAGTCATAAATTATAAAAGTGGCCTCAATTATTGCAAATATTAATTGTTACCATATATTACGCGTTATTTTTAAAAATGTTTAATTCTACATAATGCAAATTTTTATAAAGTAAATATAATTACTTCATTTATATTTCTTATAATGAAATATTATTTTTATATAAAATAGATTTAAATTTTCCAGCAATCCAAAAAAAAAAAACATCTTAGAACCATAATTAGAATTAAAAGCATTTATTTCAATCACGTATAAATAATTACTTATCTTTAAGATTTATCTGTCATCGATAATTACTAAAAAGTGAAATTTTTCTTATTCTATTCCTATGTAATATTATCTTTTTATTATAAAAGAATTCAAAAAATGGCATCATTAAGTGGCCAAACGTATCAAGAGGAACTATTTTCGATGGTAGAAGAGCCGAATTATTATAATCAACGGGGTGAAATTGCTACATTTTTTTCTGGAAAGAAAATTTTTATAACAGGAGGCTTAGGATTTATAGGAAGACTTATAATGGAAAAACTTTTAAGGTAAACATTTTTCTTATATGCTTTCGTTCTCGATTCAATTAGCCCCTTGACCTATTACCACGAGTCAGACTCGTGGTAAAAAGTTTGTGCTATAAGCGAATACCACGAGTCTGACTCGTGGTAAAAAGTTTGTGCTATAAGCGANCTACGTTACAACTTTTGCATTCATATCTAGTTTCCCGTCTTTTGTCATTTGCCGTGCAAACGACGCACCTTCTAACTCGGTTCTTTCCTGCCGGGGCATAGGCCGAAGGAAAATGTCGTTCAATAAGTCTCGATGGATTATTATTGCCCGTTCGATGGTGGTAATTTATGCCCTTATGATACTTCTCATAGGCCGTCTCGCGGATGCCGTATATGTACGGCACCCGTACCCACAGGCCGTCTCGCGGATGCCGTATATATACGGCACCCGTAACGAAAGGGTTAAATAATCTCTAATTTAACACGTTGAGCGTCATGTTCATTTTTAAGGAAGTCCCCGTAAAGCCACGTTAATTTTCAAGGAAGTCCCCGTCAAGCCACGCGCGCCGCTTAGATGTATCATGTTATATGTTGTCAGTCATCGATGACTGACGTGGCCTAGACGGAAAGTCTTGTGTCAGCCATATATGACTGACGTGGCTTAGATTGAAAGTCTTTTGTCAGTCACCGATGGCTGACGTGGCCTAGAGGAAAAGTCTTGTGTCAGCCATCGATGACTGACGTGGCCTAGGCCGAAAGTCTATTGTCAGCCATCGACGACTGACGTGGCCTAGAGGGAAAGTCTTGTGTCAGCCATAAATGACTGACGTGGCCTAGGCTGAAAGTCTTTTGTCAGCCATCGATGACTGACGTGGCCTAGAGGGAAACTCTAGTGTCAGCCATAAATGACTGACGTGGCCTAGAGGGAAAGTCTAGTGTCAGCCATAAATGACTGACGTGGCCTATAGGGAAAGTCTAGTGTCAGCCATCGATGACTGACGTGGCGTTCAACGTGTTAATTACATTGCACCTAACCGTTATACAGTGTAAACACAACAAAAATATGTATATATTTTTTGTCTTTAGGATTTGCGCTTGAGACAACATGAAGAAGCAGTGAAAATTCAACAAGAAACAGAAGATCGTGTCGCTGCTGCTGTTTTACTAACAGGATATATAGCTGAACTTTTACCAGCTGTTTTAGAAGGTTTAAAAATGTCTGGATTTCTTCTTGATGAGATAAAAGCAGGTACATAAATTTTAATTTCATTTTTATTGAAATTCTCCAAATTATTTGTCATTAAATTATTAACAATTAAATAAAATTTCTAGATGTCGAGGAAGGTTTTATGCCATGGTTGATGAAGGAAGTTAAAAAGGAGATGGGTAATATGATCGAAAGCAGAGAGTTGCTAATGGGTAAATGAAATTTTTCTTTATTATACTTCGAGTTACAACATTATGAGAATACCAATAATATTAATCGTCAAGTTTTCATGTTATTTTTCTGTAATTAGTTTGAAATGTAATGATCTTCTTTAATTTTGGGAGAATTCTAATTTAGTTAATTAATTATTGTCCTTTTTTTTCTTCCTTTCAGTAATTATCAAAGAAATATTGGAAAACAGAGTAGAGACGTATAGAAGATTAGGTGAGGAGTATGATGGCCTTTCTGAAAGACGAATATCTGCCGACGATAATCATTTGGAAGACGAAAATATTAGTCAAGATGAAAATTTTGTTAATTACGAAGAACCATTCTTTTTAAAGAAATAATAATAATAATGAACAAAATTAGGCCTGTCTACTACGTGCTCTGCTTTCATATTTTTTTCTTTTAATTATTCTTAATAATTATATTTCATATTTTATATTTGTGTGTGTGTATGCCTTCGAAAATTCCTGTATATTTTATAAAGCAATCATTTAATTAAGTTTTAATAAAGGACAATCAAAACGAATAGATGATAAATCTAACAATGATCACCTTTAACAAAAAGAAAAATATATTAATTATAAATACAATCGAATGAGATACAATAGCTTAACATAAATCGTCCAATTCGTAGATGCACTTTTCAAATTGAATTTTCTATTTATTTTTATCAAATCTATATTTAAAGTTGCAATAAAATTGAATTTAAAGGCTTGATTTTAAATTTACAAAAAATAAAAAAAATAAAAAAGTAAAAGTACAAATATTAAGTTACCAGAGAAAATAATATCTATTAATTATTATAGCTAATACTTTTAAACTGCATTATATAGAAAAGAAAAAATTACAAATTTAATAAAATATGATCAAAGTAAAAAATCTTAAAGACAAAAAAAAGGGAGATTACTTTAATATTTTAAAGACAATAATTGGGTTTCAAAATGTAATAAAAATGGAATTTAAATATTTTTACTCGAGCTAATTAAACACGTATGCATCTTTTTGACGATATAGACACGAATTTAGTGTCCCAAGAAGACAAAATGGTCCATCATCTCCAATTACAACTAGAAATTAATGACGAGCAAAGAAGTAAAACAATAAAATATAAAATATGACTAGAGAGCCATTCTCTAAAGGCTCGAACTTGCTGTTGAACCTTTGAAAATAACTCAATAGCCTGTAGTTGCCCTTTTGAGTCACAATTAAGTGGGGGCCTCTTCGGCATTAAGCCTCTCCTTTCTTCATTCCATAAAAACTGCATTTGGACATTTCCTACGTGCGAGCAAGATAAGATCTTTCATACAAGTTTTGCAAATGAACTCTTATTTTGTTATGATTCTAATTCTGAATGATTACAAAATTAATTTACATTTCGCGTTCAATTTTCTAGCTCGTGGACCATCAATGAACTTAGAGTTCATTAATCATACACGAGAACACAGATTAAATAATCGAATATCCAAGCAGATAATCATTTTCCTCGATGACCTAATAACACTTCGCACTTTTAACGTCGAGTAGTAAAATCAAATTGAAATAAAAAGTGCAATAAATGTAATGCATTTTCTTGCAATACTTTTATTTCATTAATTCGTTATTAATTTATTAGTTAATTATATAAAATATTTCCATTTTATAAGATGAAATCGCGATAGTGCGTAGTGCTAATCCTGAAATACTTAGGACTAAGTATCAATTGCATCAAAGAATTTGCGAATTTGATTCGACTCTATCTCGTTCGAGATAGAATCGAAGTAGAAATGAATCTTTCAAATGGTTGCAAATACCTTTGAATCATGATACATAATAAAGATTACAGTATAGTCCTAAAATAAATAAACAAATCAAGCATAATAGAATGAGATAGATCAAATTTTGTAACAATTCTGTATAAACCAGGAGGCGGAATTTCCATTCCGGAGTGGAAGCAAGAAGTCTAATGCCTTTTCTGGATCCTACCTACTTAAAATTAAAGTTTTCACATTTATTCAGAGAAGTATGCTACCTGCCTGCCTATTACCCATATTTTTACCCGTTTTAAGAAAAAACATACATATCAACCCACTCATTGCACGGTTCTCACACATACCACCAGGGTGCAAAAGCCTAAATTAGAGAGCATGCCCCGGGGCACCTCCGACACCCTAGTTCAACCACGTTTTATAAACTTATATGCTAATGGGTATACGTACTTTTTGCTGTAATCAACTGCCAAGGCTAATGATTATTGCATAAAAAACTGAAGCAAAAATACAAGTATACACTAGTATATATATATATGCATACTAGTAATATACAAGTATATCAAAGTTTCTACAAATAAATGTAGTAACTCTACTGTGCAAACGATTATCCAAAAAAAATGATGTGAGCAGATCACACGTGTTAGAAGTGAAACCTTCAAAAAAACTAAATTTCGAGAGAAAGAGAGGAAAGCACAGTATCAAGATTAAGATATTTGTAGGATTTATTTATTATAATATTGTTACCCTATATATATATCAAAGGGCACCGGTACAATCTTGCTATGGGGGTAGCTAATAAAAACGATCAATATCCAAATTGTATCAATTAAGATACAATGCTGAATGCGATAGCCATAGATAGAAACAAATATATA